ACATAAAAAAATGTGATAATTAAATAAAAATAACACAGGAAAATATGAGATACCTGCTCGTTTCAAAGGCTTTAATATCACCTTTAAAAATTTCGAAAAATGCTACAAATGCCGCATTCCCAAGTGATTTTAAGTAAATAATATTTTTTCTTATTTAAAAGCATATAATGTTTATATAAGATAAACTTAGAAAACAATATACAATACTTTTTAAGTTTAGTATGCAAACAATTTTATTAACAAAACCATTATTATGCTTAATTCTAAACAAAATAATAGATAAAATATTGCGCAACTTCTTATAATAAATTTAAAAAATATATATTAATATCATTAAAATAAAATAAAAAAATACAAACTTTTTGATAAATATTTAAAACCACCTCTTCAGACACCAAAAAAGTATGCTACGAATCTGTTTAATCAAAAGCATAGTCTCTTAGTATAATAATAAATTGCAATTTCTTATAATTAATGCTCTATATATAAATGATTAATATTATTTAACTAACTACGAACTCCTCGTATTAGGGTATTAGAAGTTCTAATGATTTAAAACCATTGTTTAAGTCACACAAGTCTGGGGTACAAATGTAAATACTAAAATCATAGCATCATATCATACTTATGGGTGCATAAATAACACCCCCTCATATTCAATTATCTAAATATATATTAATTAACTAAGTTACATTTAAGCAAAGGGTATCCCCCATTCGAACCCCCGAAGTTCCCACCAAAAACATTAATTTTTATATGCATGCTCCTTCGTCTTATTATTCCTGACCCAGGTAAATTGGCTGGCCCACAATGCCAAATCTTTCGGCATGTCCATAAATTCACATTCAACCTTAGAGCATTTACAAAAGAAAAACCTCAAAATTTGCCACTGAGCGTACAAGTTTCAGCATAAAAAAGAGGCACGCGTTTTTTGGGGGGGAAAAGTATCTGAAAAGCCGACAGCCGGGCGATATGTACACTCCAACCAAATTGTTGGCATCATTTTGGGTATCTGGAGGGGCCATTGAGTGGGTGTTCCGGATGGGTGGATTGGGTTTGCTCTGGTTGTGTGTGTGTTTGTGTCTACTCTATACAGACATCTGCCAAGAACCTCGATAATTGTTTATTGTTTACTCTTTGCATTTAACGGCTTGCTGAAAGGCATCGCCCCATATCAAAGATGAAGAGACCGAAGTAGAGATGCTGCTGATTCCATTCACAGAAGCGGAAACAAGTTATTTATTTAACTGTCATAACTTAGCAACAACAATATATAAAAAAATGAAGAAAATAGTGGTGTCTCCCACGCAGAGACCACTTTAAAGTGAAATTCCTTTGGCTAAAATTAACAACCAGTGTAAATATATCATAAAATTCAATTAACAAATAAGTTTGTAGTTAGTTACCCAGAAGGCATGGCAACAGAACCCCATTCTGAGAAGAGTCCTTACTATCAGAAGGTAATAAGAGTAAAAAGGGGATTGATTACATTTCATTTGAAATGCTAACGAACGAGTTGAATGGGTTTTTTACATGCTAACAAATTCACACAAGAAGGGTTCAAATCCTTGAATCCGATCAAATATCATACAATTATATCCGATCATACAATTATTTCATTGAAATTATTTGAAATATACTCTGAAAAGGTTAAAGAGAATTACTGTTAAATATAAATCCTTTTAATTGCCACTAGGATATGCACAAAGAAAGCTTAGTTAATAATGTAAACAAATGGATTTATTGCATTTCCGGCTTACATTTTGTGTAAGTAAACAAACCAATTAATAATTCATTCGTAAATAATTACATAAAAAATCCCCACTAACTCATTCAACTAAGCTTTATGAAGAGTCAAATAAATCGAATAAAAACTTGTTCAAGCTGAAATCCAATAGCAGAAAAACGCTACATTTATTTAGTTTGAAAAACAAATTTCCGGAAAAACTCCCTGAAAATTTATTCAGTTCATTTTTCTAGACCATAAAACCGATTACTCACAGCTGTCACATCTGTAGTTTTTCGAAATGACACAGCAGGAAGTCGACTAATGAGACAAATCCTTTTCGTTCTATTTTTTTTTTTTTTTTTTGTATATTATCCTTTGGTCCTTGCCCTACTCAGCAAGTCAACCGATGACGGAAACCAATCAATGGAGTTGACAGTAGCTTCAGGTCCCCTGGGAAAATTGGCTAATTAACTTGGGCATAAATACCAGCCAAGCTGGATGCCAGATGTTTAAGGCCAAAGTTTAAGGAGCATAAATAAGGATTTTATATCAATGGAGAGACGGGGAGCATCCATGGCAAGCCTCATTTAGCCGGACTTTAGCCATAAGCACCGGCGGCATGCAAGCATTATTTATTTAATTTAGACATTGCCCTTGGTAATTTAGGATAATGAACTGAAGGTCGTTTTCTTGGTGCCCAGTGCACAGTGTACAACTCCTGGCTGGTACTTAATGTATTATTATTAAAATGCCTCATGCCGTGCTGCAAGTCCTAAACATATTAAAAAACATCCAGCGGAGATGTCACCTCATGCTGTCTACAATATAAGAGGAGCACCAGGTCTGGCGCCTCATTGCGAAGGCAAAAGAACATGCCCATTTTCTATTTCCAAATTTCTTTCGGTTTGCTCGTTGGCTGCCTGGAATTTTTCATCCACGTTTAATTTATTCTTTTATGTCCGGAGCGTGTTGCTTTGATGTGCCCACAATGGAGCATCCGCAGCACGGAGTCTCCTCCAGCCATTAATACAACTTAGGCTCACACATCTTCTATGTAGTACAGGGAGCCACATGAATTGTAATCCATGTGGCATGGATTTCTTTCCTTTCTTTTTTATTTTCGGGGGTCCTTTAGCTCTTTGGATGGCTGGATAATAATGCCAGACCGTGGTCGGGACATCAATTTCCTATTGTGGCCAGATTTCCGCCTGCAGATTGATATTGTGTGTTCGCATGACTTGCTTTTCGGCCCAACTTGTGGTCAAATATATACAAGTTAAAGGGGGGCCATCGCACTTTCAAGACTTCCATAAATTATGCATATGATCAATTAAATACAGAACATTGAGCAATGGTTGTGGATGTGTGGTGTGGCATCAGTTGGAAATGGGAAATAGTTTTCCCTCATTTATATTTAGCTTATCAGGCGTATTGAACAATGACCTCTGTTGTGATTTTATATGAAAAGCAAGGGTTAAAAAAGCAACTTAATGATATAAGTGAATTTATTTAAAAGGAAAAACGAACATTTCAATATATGGTATATATTCTAGGTTTGTTATTAAATATTTAACATTGCTCCGAAAATCTCTAGGGTTATTATGAACTCCTTAAAATATAAAATAAAATTCTTTTCGATCTATTTTTTACGAATAATATTTATTTATTTAACAAATTTCCAATCTTTTTTTCTTAATTATTACTTCCTTTGTATGGATTTAATATTATACGAAAAATTAAACAAAAATATGTTAAGCAAGAAAGGATGTTAAATCAGTCATAACTAACTCGAAACTACTTTTTTTAGCAATAACCAATTAACCTATTTTTCAAGGCCTAAACAACTTTAAGAATTTCGTCTTAAATGACTCAAAAGCTTATTTATATAAGATTTCCATGTCGAAGTAAAATTATTTTATTGTAAGACTTGACATCATTTTCCTTCCGCCACTTAAATTTTTGATGGAAATGGATTCTGTAATCATCTTTTAATTCCTTAAACCATAATCTTGTTAACCGTGTTCAGTAACCTGAAAACATGATATTATTGTGCCTGTTTACCCGCCTCGTTTGTTTTATTTCCCAATATTTCTTTACCACCCGAGTACTCTCACATCTTCCCCACATTTTTATTAAAATGAAGGAATAAAAAAAAACTGCGCACTCAAAATATAAAGAAATTTAATGCAACACAACCATATTTAAACATGGAACCAAGGGATTTTTATCCCTCCACAAGACCACAAAGTGAAACTTTGTTTCTTTTGCTTTTTACTTAATTTATGGGTCATTAAATTTGTATTGGCGAGATGCTACCAAGGCAATTTGTCCTTGAACGGAACCCTTTTTATGGGCCAACCCAAAAAAAACGAAAAAATATATATTTGAAAGAAGCCAATTATGGTCAGGTTTGACATAATTAGTTATGGCAACTGAAAGGACATTTATAATTTTTTTGTCCTTTATTTCTGTTTGCTTATTTGTTTTTTACGCGAACAAATAGAACATAAAAATAACCGAAAGATTCTGGGAAATTCATTTTTTATGGTTAGATTAATTTTTCTGTACCAAAAAAATTCAAAGAAGGTCAGGTTTGACATAAATAATTGTGTCAATAGAATGAATGATTTCATGCATATTTTATGTTACTTATATATTTATTTACGTGTGATGTTAATAGAAAAACCGTTTGATTCGTGAAAAGTATGATTTTTTTCTAGGATTTATTTTCTCAATTATAGAGAAATCCACAGATTTCCAGGAATGCAATTATGACCTGTTAAACTATAATTGGCTGGGCATAACAAATAGCTTTTTATTATAAAAACTAAAGCCATTAGAGTAAATGATTGATTGATGATCATTATTTCATTGAAAAAAATCGTTTCCAGGTAGCATATTTAATTTCTTTTGTGTTTTTAATTCGGTGTGTTTTTATTCGGAATAATTTACATATTTATGACATGCAAAAGCACTTTTTGTGGAAAATATTCGGTTATTTCATTGATATATAGCTTACAAATTTGTTTTCATTAAAATATGAATATGTTAAATACAAATAAATTCATTTTTATTTAACTTTTTGACTCTATTATGATTATATCACAAAAAGAAACTATAAATCTTCACAAATGGTAAAGAAATATCTATGAATTTCCATTATTCTGCGCAAATTTTGTATTTGAAATTTCTCTGTTTATTGTTTTGTGTCAATTAAAATTAATGACTTTTAAATTTTCTGATAATTGTACATATAATTTGTAGCACTCACATTTGCTGTTTATTTTCGTTGTTATTTAGCGTTTCTCTGTTTACATTTTACAACACAAAAGTGGGTTATTTTTAAAGTAGAAATTCGTGGAGTAAACAAAGTCTTAAATAGTTTTTATTTTTAAGTTTTCAATGATAATAGTTTTTCTCGTATTTTTTATTTTTATATATTATTTATTTGCACTTTTAAAACTCTTTTCGGGCGCACTAATATTCGATCCGCTGTCTGATCCTTTCACGAGCTCGGTAAACGACGGACTGCACGTTGAAATTCCGGCTGGCTTTTGATGATTTGGCGCCAAACTGTTAAGCTTTTCGAATTTCCCCTCTTTTCCAGCCTTCCAGTGCGAATTACTGTTCGAAACTGGAACTGGAAGGCGGCCTTCTAGCCGGCAAATGACGCCTGCGCGTTAAAAACAAAGGCGAGAAATTGTAAACAAAAATCAGCTGCATAGAACAGCTTCATTGATGATGGGATATATACTATATATTACTATATATATATATATATATGGAAAAGTGAGTGTGTGGATCTGAAGCCAAGGATGAGTGATGTGATTAGGGTGAGCTCATGTGCGTTGCTAATAAATATCAATGATTTGTGAAAATTCTTCATCTCGAAAGGAAACAAAAAATGTTTAAAAAAAAGGCGCACACAATTTTATTGAAAGTCGTTGAAGCAGACAGTAAGTACATCTGCTCATATGGAATTAAATTGAAGGGGATTGGGCGGGGGGGTTACTATAATAAATGGGCGGGGAAAACGAGGCTCAAGGCCACGCCTTTTACTTGTCACGCCAACTGAGAATCCTCACAGCTGTCAGGTCAAAGCCTCAACCTACTTGACATCTTCTCCAATGTTCTGGCATTTTCCCAGCTTCCCCCACAAAACCCACAGCATTTCCCCCGCATTTAATTTCCTTTGACGCCGCATTATTTTAGCCTCTTTTTCGACACAATTTACACACAATTCGAACAGCCTTTGACTGGGATCGGTGTCTGTATCAAATGATTCGGAGACAATATAATGGTGCTGCCTCATTGTCTTTCGATTTATCGAGTGAAGGTTAATCACCTCCCGGTTATTTTCAGTGCGTCTGCAAATAGAAGGCGAGCAAAATTGATGAATAAATTGATTAAATTGAATAAATACAAGAATAAGAATTGTGACACATTCTATTCTGGCATTTTTGATATGCTTCGGTAAGCAATTAATTGACTTTTGATTGATATTTTAATACATTTTGTAGAAATTTAAATATTTTTTTTGACATTAGCACAGTTAAAGTTGCCATGCTGGATTATTATATTTCATACATTTTTATATTAATTACATCTTTTAAAAATAAGCAAGTAAATTATAACCAAGAAATGAATCGAACTTCCGCACGCCGAAATTTGTATACCCTTGCAGATTGAAATTCGATCACTGGGAATTAATGCAATATAAATTATATACATTAATGCTTAAAAACAATAAAGTAATGCCTGCTTTCATTTCCATTTTATATTTTTTTTTCTGATCGTTCCTGTGGCAGCTAGATATATGTATATATATAGTCCGCCGATTCGGCATGCTCCGAATTATATACTAGTAAAATAATATAGAAGAATAACCCCATAGTTTCATTCAAATAGCTTGCTCCTAAATTTGTTCCAAAACAAATCTCGCACATCAGTTTTTATGATTCCCAACTGGTTCTAACATCCCCGGAACGAAGTGCCTTCTGCCTGCCAAGTCTCAGAAATGTGTTGTGTTACAAAAGTTGCAAGTCATTGTTTATTAGTGTTCATAGATACTTACTGGTCATTAATACTTACTGATCATAGTTACTTACTGGTCGAATTTACTTACTGTACATTGATATTTATTGATCAGAGTTAATTACTGATTAAAGTTACTTACTGGTTATAGCTACTTACTGGGCATAGTTACTTAATGTTCATTGATACTTACTGATCATTGTTAATTACTGCTCATAGTTTTTTATTGGTCATAGTTAATTACTTATCATTGTAACTATTTATCATGAAACTATTAATATTTATAATTTCTAAAATTCTATTTTCCCGTAAATCCGTAAATTAAGTATACGCCATGTGTGCCATACGGGAAAATAGTTTAAGAAATTATAAAGATAAATAGTTTTATGATAAATAGTAACTATGATCAGTATTTGACTATGATCAGTATACTTAACGTGAAAATCCGTAAATTAAGTATACGCCATGTGTGCAAGATTTATTTTTGCAGGGAATTGTAATTTATTTAGGTACTTGTAAAACTGTGAAGGTGTCATTTCCGACCCTATAAATCATATATATTCTTGATCAGCATCAAAATCCGAGTCGATCTAGCTATCTCCGGCAGGGAAAAATGGATTTCGAAATTTTGTCGATTTTTTTCAAAAAAATATAAGATAAGATACATCTTTAAAATTGTCAAAAAATTCAAATTTTTTAAATTTTAAATTGTGAATGCAGATTTATTAGCCTAACAAAAACTTAGGACAGCTTTCCGAATTGAAATTAAGGCTTTTTTGGCATAGTTATGCATTTTTTAAACTTTGATTTATAGACAAAATTGTCATAGTAAAATATCGATTTAATGAATTTGAATATTTTAAATTTAGCTTAGCTTATAATCCATTATAATAGTTACTTAATGTTTATTATTGATACTTACTGATCATAGTTAATGTTCATAGTTACATACTGCAGAAAGATAGAAAAATACTTCAAAATAAAATATAAATCAAAAACTGTATCTCAAAACGTTGTATCTTACATTTTACCTAATTTTCTGCTGCCTACTTCCAGGCTGCCCGCTTAATTGCAGTCATCTTATCAACTGGGATAATGAATAAATATGTGATTGCAAAAATTAAATGGCAAAAAAAGAAGATAAAACAGCTTCACCTATGATGAAGACCAAATAAGCAGAAGGCTTAAAGCTGCTATCATTAAGCAGTAAACGAATTAACTCTGGCCACACACACATGGTATATATATATATATTCTATGACACACTGATAAGCCAAATCACTCTCTTTCAAAAGAGAAGCAAGTTATCTCTTTTAATTTGAGCAAATCAACAAAAAAAGGTAAACACACAAAAGTTGAAAGCTCTCAGATTGAAATTGAAAGTAAAGCTGATTGAAACGGATTGAAAGAACACTCTTTTTGAGGAATCCACAATATTCACAGATTTTTGCTCCTTTAAAGCTCTCTTCGAATTTTAGTCACTGTTAATTGGACTTATGTTAACAGGAAATCCTGAATTAAAACTGAAAGGATCTCTGATACATTAACGCTTCCCTTAAATAAAATTAACTGTCACTTTCATAGGAAATTAATCAAATGCTCAAACAAGATCGCCTTAATTAACTTTAAATATGATTAAATTAATAAAAGAAGACAATCTATGCCCATTTTTGATTTAATAATTTGTCTTTTAGCTGTTACATTGCCTTCTTATTCGCTATTACTAATGTCCTACCGGAAAACTTGTATTAAAACTTAGATTGATTGATTTTTATGTCCCAATAAATATTAGTTCTTAAATTACCAAGACTTTAATTAAATATTTAATGAGTTTAAGCAATAAACTTACAGAGAGATTCCCATTCATAGCAGGGGAATTCCTATTGACAGTTCTGTTAGTAAATGTAAGAGTATAAGAAATTTCTGTTAGCCCAAGAGAGCAGCTCTCTTTTGCTCCAATATGGCCTGAGAGGGCGCCACATAGTCGAGAGCGAAGCTCCCCTTGCACTATGGGCTTTCTAGAAAATAAAATTTCTTAAAAAAGTTCAAGTAGCTATTAAATTAGTGATGCAGTCTTTTGTAAAATTTAATTGTCATGATAACTTTGTTCTATATATCAATTTTAATAATAAAATATATTATTAAAATGTAAAAAAATGTATGCACTATAGGTTAGTTATCTTTTCCCTCTAAATTCCTTGATACTTATTTCAAAGATGATTAATTTTTATATGCAAATAAGTCAAACAACCCACTGTACCGCCGTGTACAAGTAATGAGTAGCTGAGAAACAAGTTTCAAACACGACGACGAAACGGCAAGGCGGGAATTTCGTACCACGAACGAGATTCTCTTGCCAGCGATTCGGTATTTCTGTTGCTGTTTCTGTTTCTGTTTGTCCGTGAACGCCGACGTCGACGCACGCCTCTCGTTTTCGCGCGCTTCTCGCACTCTTCGGTAAATGCGCAAAAAAAAGCACACAGCCACGCAAAAAATAAAGAAAAACGCAAGAACTCAAATCGCAGCGCAAAGGCAACGTAAGGCAAACGTAACGCAAAAAGCAAAAAAACGCATGGCGAATACGTCTGTCATTCCGATTTATTAATAGATTTTCGCACACGGCCCATATTCAGAGCATAATATTCGAGAGATGAGAAATTCAAATGGGAGAATTAATGATAAGGAATATTCAATAGCACGTTGAACTGTTCGTTTCGAAAGAATTTTTTGCGGTCGCGCGCGCGATTTAATTTCAATATTGCGTATACGCACATGCTGCGATATTGCGTATACGCACGGTGTACGGTGAACGTTGGACTCTAAGCGAAAATTTTTAAATAAATAACAAAAATAAAACGAAATCAAAGCCAGGAAAATAAAAATTAAACCGAAAACATCATATCAAAGGGCAAACATACAAAAACCAATAAACATTTCCTAGTTTATTTACAAATATAAATATATAAACGCACTAAAAACCCAAAGGATTATAAGGATTTACACCACAACGGCACTAGGCATTATTTACAAGGAAACAAGGGAACAGGAACAGGAATACCACTAAAAGGATAACTGACTCGCCAGAATATATATGTATATACAGTTATAGAAAGAAAGAGACAGCAGCAATGCCAGCAAGCGGGCTGCAATCTCCACCAGGTCCCAGGGCTAGCGGCATATCAGGATAATACCAGCAGGACCCCAGAAGGACTTTGGACATGGCTCTGCTATTTGTCTAGTGGGAACCAGGCCAAACTCTCTCACACACACACACACACGCACGCGAGCCAAGCGAGAGACAGGCAGCAAGGACATTCGTCATTGTGTGCGTCAAGGACGTTTACGACGACTTTGTGCCATACACACACACACGCTTAGTGACGAAAGTGGGCGGCCCAGCTCTGGGCAACACTTATTAAATATACATCAGTCAAGCGCAAGGAACCTAATTTCCACCAGTTGTCCTTCCATGTAAAATAAAGGAAAAACTTAGACAAGACAAGGAAAAGCGCAACAAGGGAGCCACAGGACACACGCACGGAAAATGGCGCGTCGCAAGGGCAGCGGTCGAGGCAGTAAGTACAATTATTATTCTATTTTGGCCAAATTAAGCCAAACAATTTCTAAGAATTTATCAGAATCAAAATCATTTGTAGGAATCTCAGATTTTCGATGAAATTTCGACAGCCAAAACCCAGGTTTCCTGGAAGAAATTTCACTAAACAGGAGTTTCTGTATAATTTACCTACCAGTGAATTATTTTATATTCTAATTTACATGAAATTCTCTTGAATTTAAATAGGCAAAGTTTAAATATTTAACAGTTTAGTGTTGAAAGAAAACATTAAGGTTAATCAAAAGAAGAAAGGTTGTGCCTTCTGGAAAAATATTAAATTAATTTCACAATATATTTTTAGGAAGAGAATTTCAAGGTATTTCCAATAATAATTCTTATAGTTTTAATTTTGTGAATAACTGAAAATGAAGCTACCTGAACTTAGCTTAGCTTTTCAATGGTTTTGTTAAGTTATTGCTGCTCTAAGAACTTTATCAAAAAGATTTCCCCAACCAAAACTTTAAGAGAACATAAAATGCATATTTCGACCTAACCAGAATTGTGTGTACTTCGGTCTCAAGGACATAGAAACCATGTTGGAAAGTACCACAAGGTTTCTATTCCATATGGCAGGACACAAAATGTCCCCAACTACTATCAATATTTTTTTGTGACAGAAAGAAGACCGCCAAGTGCCGGGATAGAGACTTTTCCGTGAGTCACAGAGAGCAAGAGAGCGAAATGTAATTCCACAGGAAAAATAACTGCCAAGCCGAACCCTTGCCTTTCTTTGACTGTATCTATAAGATACATTTTCTGCATTATTATTATTATTTGCAAGAAAGAATGCATAAAACATGAGACAGGCACAGCGTCAGTAGTCACATTTTCGATGCAACGCCCACGCCCCCCCCCCCCTGCATTTCTTTCTTATTATTATTATTTATTATTATTTTTTTTTGTACAGCTGGGGCCTCCCCCTTTTTATCATTTCATTTCTCAGCTGCGTTGCGTTGGCGCGCGCGCTGCAAAATGTTGGGGATTCCCTTACGTAATCCCCCAGCGCACACAAAAGGCAAACAAACAAACTGAAACACACACACACACACACACGCACCAAGGCAAACAAAACAAAAAAGAGGCAAAAGAGGCACAGAGAAACGGAAAACAGAAAACAGAAAACACAGAAAACAGGGAAAACAGACACAAACAAGGCAGCTTGTTTGCCAGCCAGTTGGAGTCAGTTGCCCCCACTCCCTCCCGCTCCCCCCCTTGTAATGGCCTGAAAATCAAGCTCAGCCAACGTCATGAACTTTTGCCGAGTCGCTCTGTGCTCACCCACTCACTCACACACACACACACACAGAGACACACTCGCAACAGGCAGCTCACACAGATACAGATACTGGGAGTCCACAGTCAAAGATACTTTGCGTCACACGCGGCCTGTTAGACAAGTTGGTTGCACGGCAAAAAAAATGTGTGGCTTAATAAGATAGATTTAATTATTAAATTAATAATAAATAATTAATTAATTAATTTAAAATATAATTTTCTTCTTAATTAATGACCCAAGGAGTTCATAAATTCTATATATTTGTTATTTTAATTAATGTAAATTATTGTTTGGGCTTTTATTAAATAGAAAACAGAATTTCCTTATTAATTTTTATCTTAAGAAGTTACAACAAATTTATAAATTTATCATAGTTATATTACAATGTTTTTATCTGTTTCATAGAAGAAGGTTATTGTTACATATATTAATATTTTTATTAAATATTTTTATATAAATATATAATATCATATATAATATATATGCTTTTAATATAGTAAAAATTGAAACCCTATTTCTCTCTGTGTATTTCTGTTGCTGCTGTTACTCATGCCACTACAGTTTGAACCTATTAAAAAGGCAGAGATACTTTGTTGCATGGGGCGTTCTCATGCCTTTAATGCCCACACGATGTCATTCCCTTTTAGCCTCCGCCGCCTCAGTTCCAGATACTTTTGCCAAATGAGATACAAGTGTGCTGCCTGGTCTTTTGATATATGCCAAGTATTTTGCTGTCAGAAATGATACAGTAAACACTAATAGGATTTAATATGAGCTACATAAAGAATAGGAAACTGAATTCATTTTAAATCTATACTTAAGGGTTTATTTGTACTTTATTATATTAAAAATATTTCTTAAATATGTCTATCTAAAAAAGGCGTACAAAGTCTTTTTAATTCAATTGTAACCAAATTTATACAGCTAATATATAAAGCATTTTCTTAATTGTCATCTATATCTCAATCTAATAAACCTTGAAAAACACTTCCTTACTTTTCAATTAATATTAAAAACATAACCCAACTTATAGAGCTACTATTTAAATCATTTTCTGAATTGCAATACTTATCTCCCTGTTATAAACCTTAAGAAAATCATCCATATTCCCCAGTTCTTAATCATAAACTAACCCTAATTAAAGAGCTAATATTAAGAGCATTTTCTGAAATCCTTTCAATAATCATCACTGATACCCACTGTTCTTAATGAAAACGCAATCCAACTTATAGAGCTTCCACTGTATCAGGCGCAACATGTTCAAAGAACCTGGCTGCGTCTCACTTGGCTACGCCTTAACTCCAAGTTGCCAATGGGTTTTCCTTGGGGTTTGAGGGTCCCAGGCTTTTCCCCCTTCAAAGTGAGGGAGCAAGGAAGTTGCAAGAAACACTTAAGCTGGCTTTGGCTTTGTCTTTTGGCTTTGAGAGTTGGTCTTTGTCTTTGCGTTGCCAGTGACTTGGCTGTAATCTCTTTTTTGCCTTCGTCACTAACAACGTCAAAATTAAAATAGACTTCGTTCTCTTTCGCTTTGACTTTGCCCTGGCTCTGGGCCATTGTGCTGTGGATAATTTATGGCAGGTGGAGGGAGGAAGTTTCCACCAGAGGAAATCCCCACCATGGCCATCCTTTTTTCCCTTACTCTCCCTCTCTCTCTCTCTCTCTCTCTGTGGCATTTTCCCGCACTTTTATGTACGAGTATTTTCATTCCATTGCTACCTTTGTTTCGGTTTCCCTTTGGCAACTTTTCCCTTTGCTGGCATTCCATTTCCATTTCGGATGAGAGCAAAATAACAAAAAAGAAAATGCCAGCCTTTTAGTTTGCGTAGTTTTTGCCCTTCCGATGGGGTGGTTTTTCATTCCATGTCGGGTGGGGTTTCGGCTTTTGGAGTTTGGGGAAAACGGTGTCCTTAAGTGCTAGGTAGCTGCTTATGTAGGTCTAGGTGTGGCCATAATGGTGCCCGATTCCATTTGTTGATTGCTCTGATTCCGTTGCCTACTCAGGATTTGCTTAAAATACAGAGTTAGATTTGAAAAAAGAGCCTGAAAGTATTTTATTTGGGTCTTACTAGTGTATATTATATGTATATTATATTATATTTAAACAGTTCATTCGTTTCTTTATCAACAATCTTTTAAACCTTCCTGTTAGAATAACAATATTATATCTTTAATATGCAATACATATAGAACACTTAATCTTTGCAAAGTACACCTAATATTATTCGATATAAATCTAGTCCTATTTCTTAGAAAATTTCCATATTCCCAGAAAATACTTCCTCATTTAACTATAAATCCTTTTCGACTCACTTAACAAAAGATACTCCCGACATTAGCCATTAACTAACCTTGGTTAAGCTTATTTATTTATTGTATTAAAATCAGCCAGAAGGCACGCAACAATTTCTAAGCGAGTACAAGTTCCTTAGTCACAGTTTGGTCCTTTTAGCTTCCCTTTTTTGTCCTTTTTGTCCCTCTATCATAGCCATAAACAAACACTCCACTCCAGCCTTTTAGGCAACTGTTTTTCCTTTACATTTTTTTCTTTTTTGGGCCAGCCACGCCCAGAAAATGTTCTCTTCCGCCAGCATTTCCCCCTCCGCACTAAAAAGGTCACGGCGGAAAATGGGGGAAAGCGACGGAAATAAAAGGAAAATAAATAAACGAAACGAAACGTGAAACGAAATCCAGGCCCCAAAACTTTACCTATGAGTTTAAGCCAAAATAAAACCCCATACCTGTAGCGAAAAAGGACCTGCCGCACACTAGGACAAAAGGGGGTTTAAATACATATATATTTATGTAAGTGTATATGTGTATAAAGGCAATAATAAAGCAGGAAAAATAATAATAAAAAAATAACAAGAAATTAAGGAAAAAGTTGGCAGAGTGCAAAAAACGGAAAAACAAGGCGAAAGTACACAAGTCATAGGTGTATATATATGTGTGTGTGTGTGGCCAAACCTCTTCATCACACAAACAAAAATACGCACACACACACACACACACACACAACAGCACACCCACACACTCAAGGCAAGTCTATGAAAGCGCAGGGCTTCCCCAAATGATAAAGTTTTATTTGCTTTTGCGGGCGCACATTGTATTTTCCTCTTTTTCCTTTTTCTTTTTTCTTTTTTTTTGTGGGGCAGCAGCGAGCAGCGACGCCAACGGAGGCAGCACTCAACCATAATAAAACGAACATTGAACGAAGACCATGTTGCCAATGGGGGGAAACCCCAGGGCTTGGGGGATGGGGGGTGGTCGGAAAATAAGGGGGAGAGATGACGTTGTCGGTCGACGGTCGTCAGTTAGTTGCCACAGAAAGGCGAACATTAAACCAAGTCAATCCAAGCCACCCACTCGGGAAATTCCCGATTAATAATAGACTAGAGAATACCTCTTATTCCAAAATAATAAGAATCTTTTTCTTATTATGTTTATTTTTTGTTTCAAGTTATAATATTGTAATGTAAAGAATGTGAGCAAGTGTAATTCAAAATAAATTAAGCTTTTGAAGGTCATCTAAATTCAAAACATTTCACAAAAATAAGATTCCGATATTCTTTTACAATTTTAAATAATAATTTAAAGAATTTGTATTATTTATTTAATATTTATTATAAAATATCGTAAGACCCAATTATCAAAGATACTCCAGTTATTACTATAGAGATTTTAAA